GGTTTTCAAGCTCTGGTGGCACAGTACCTAAAGCATTTGACTGCTAACCCAAAGGCTGGCAGTTCAAACCCACCAGCCACTCCTCAGAAGGAAGGTTGGGCAATCTACTTCCATAGTGACACCGCCTCAGAAACCCAAGGAGGGGTCGCTACGAGTTGGATCTTACTCGATGGCAGTCAGTTTAGTTTTTTTTTTTTGTGTTGTTGTTGTTTAATCTTTTCAGGAGCAGATTGCCAGGTCTTTCTCTCATGGAGCCTGCTGGGTGGATTCCAACTGCCAACCTTTTGGCTAGTAGCCAACCCCTTAGCTGTTGCTTAACCATTGTGCCACCAGGTGCCAGAATATATCTTAACTTCTTACTTTGGCCGATATGGCTGCGTATGATCTGGCTGTCTGCCCAACCTCATCTCATACCACTCTCTCCCTCACTTACCACATTCTGGCTCCACTTGCATCCTTTCTGTTTATCAAACCCTTTCCCACCTCCAGACTTTTGCCCTTGCTGTTCCCTCTGCTTGGAATGCACTTTTTTTTCCCCACTTCCTTCAAAACTTGAGCTCAAGACAGTATTACCTCCATAAACCCCTGCTCATTACTGGTCCTCTCACCTGTAACAATCTCTTTACTCATCTCTTGAAGTATATATTGAGCCTCTTGGCAATCTGATAACCAGTTGATACTACATCATGTCTTTGCTTATATTTGCTTTGAAATCAGTTGCTTCACACATGGTAGGTATGTTGTGTACCTTAAGAGTGCATATGACTCCTGAGTAAGTACTGAAACTGAGTGCTATTTCTCCCCCCGTAGACTGGATTACCCCCAACTATTTCTCCCACCCTGGTTAAGACAGATAATTAGATAAGACCCCAGTAAACTGGATTACCCCCAACTATTTTCCCACCCTGGACAGAGGAGTATTTAGTTCCTTAAAGAACTGAATGGAAAACATTCCTTCCTGACATAAGGGAACAAAAGTTAATTGCTGACCCTCTCCCCTCTCCCCAAGCCCCTGTGAGCTGATAACAAGAAATTAGTGACTCATCTGTCACCCATTTCACATTCACACGCCAAATTCCTCAACCTTTTGTGAATATGCACAACCCCCTCTCCTGAAACCTACAAAAACTGTGTTTAGATGGCATCTTGGGGAGTTAAGATCTGGGTACTAATTGCCCGTAACTCCTTGTACTGCTGCTTTGCAATAAATAATTTTCTCTCCTCTCAATCTCGGTGTGTAAACTGTTTTGGCCTGACTGCGCACCAGGCAGGGACCTGCGTTTGGTCCGGTAACAGTACCACATCACACTTCGTGTAGCATGTAGTCCAGAGAGGTGGTCACCGTCAGCCATAAAGCAGAACACTCCCTTCATGCCTCCAATCACATGAAAAGAGCTGAAACTGTGTTTTAGGGACAGAATCAGAGTTTAAAGAGTTGTTTTGAAATTAGAAAAATGAGACATATATTTTTTTCTCATTAAGTTTATTGAAAAAATAAAAACTGCAGCTCAGAAAACATTCCTATATATAACATTAGGAAGGGCTTAGCCATCTAGCTCATGGTATATGTAGAAGAAGGTAAAATTCACTGCCATCGAGTCATTCCCAATTCATAGTGACCCCCATTGGGTTTCTGAGGCTATAACTCTTATGAAGTTGATCACCCAGTCTTCCTTCCACAGAGCAGGTAGTGGGTTTGAACCTTCTGGTTAGCAGTCAAGTTCCTTATCCCCTGTACCACCAGAGCTCCAGATGAATATATAAAAGATATTCATGTGTTACGTATTAGGGGAAAAGAGATCCCCAATTCAAACAGGTCTCATAGAGACACTTACTAAGCCTTGGCCAGGACAAAGACAAAACAAAGACAGTCATCCTGGATGAGGGAAACCATTAGCATGAGAAAGCGGAATGGAATCTGCTGAGTCATGGTCATGTGGCTAATTATTTTTTTTAAAAAAAGGAAATCATCACAAAATCATGATTGATGGTAGGTAAATTCGTCACTGTTGCAGGCGAGGCTACAGAATCAGGGAAAAGACCAAGATGGGGATTTGAAGACAGGAAAGGGTTACAGGATTGGTTCTGGACCTTGACTACCTGGCTAGATGGTGTTCCGGACAGGCTGTGATTTATGACCATGCAGCCTGAGTCTTAGCCACAAGGTAGCTACCAAACAATACCAAGACCCCAACCTCAATTTAAATTAGAAAAGGACATTCTCAGCCAAGTTCCTGGGTTCTCTGTGTGAGCTTAATCTATTTTCAACCCTACCCTTCCTGAAGGCAAACTGCCCCTCTTTAGGTTTGTCCTGGTACTTGTCTGTGCGTAGCCACAGTGCTGGTTTATGGTCAGAAAGAACCCAAATGGCATCTGAAGCTTATATCAAGCCTCAAAATGGAGTTAGGGTTCCCACTGCCGACCACGGCCTTCCACAACCCAAGTGCTTTAGAATTCAAGCTCTCATACAGTTATAAATAATGTGGTTCAGCTTTTTGATTTAGTAAAACTAAAATATTTTTGCAGCATTTTGAACCTTCTCAAAAGTTGTTCATTTCAAGGAAAATAAAGTGTAACGAACACAAACTATTCATTGTGAGTAAAGAATTTGCCGCCCTCTGAACTCTTAACAGTGAGCCCTGGTGGCACAATAGTCAAAGTGCTCAGCTATGAACTGAAAGGTCAGCAGTTTGAACCTACCAGCTGCTCCTTGGGAGAAAGATGTGGCAGTCTGCTTCTGTAAAGATTACAGCCTTGGAAACCCTGTAGGGCAGTTCTCCGCTATCCCATGGGGTCGCTATGAGTTGGAATTGACTTGATGGCAATAGGTTTGGAATTCTAACAGCTTGGGCTAGAGATGAGATTTTCATGAGTGTATTTACTGCCATTCCCCATTAAACACACAGTCTGTCACAGTATTGGAAAAATAAGTTATCGTGGTATATTGAAATAGGCCAGTCTTTCAAGCATTTAGAGACCCTAGCCAGTAAGTATTTAATGATGGTTTTTGTAACTCTGAATAGTAATAAATGACCAACACATTATTTTTCTTTGGAAAATAAATTTAATAGAAAAAATAATTTCAACATACTGAGACATCCTCCTCTATATATGAATTGACAACTTGCTATTAGATATTAATATTTTTAAAAATCCATAGAAAGGTACTATTCAAAGGTTTGGTTATATCGAAAAGGTGGAACAATCCTCAAATTTGATTTTTTAAAAATCTAGTACCCTATGGAAGGAGCTCTGGTGGCATAGTGGATAAGGCATTTGGCTGCTAACCAGAAGGTCAATGCTTCAAACCCACCAGCTGCTCCCCGGAAGGCAGATGGGGCGATCTACTTCTGTACTGATTTACTACCTCAGAAAACCAGTGGGGTCACTATGAGTCAGAATTGACTCCATGACAGTGAGTTTGGTTTCTTTTTTCAGTACCCTGTGGAGCACAACTCTACTCTGAAACACATGGGGTCACCAGGAGTCAGAAGAGACTTGATGGCAACTTTTTTTTAAGTGTAAGATGTAACCATCAGGCAAAACTGGAAAAAAAAATCTAGTACGGATGATTATCCTCAAGTGTTTTTATTCAGTTACATTTTTTAGGGGATAAGTATGTGTGCCAAATGTTCCATTTGATCCTTTCTAGGCAACTAGGACATCTTGTGAGAATAACTGAAATTATCTAAATAATTTATTTTCAGAATAAGCTTGCAAAGCAATTAAAAATACAGAGAATTCAGGCTGCTCAAACAGTTGGCCATGTGCTGTTGAGTCGTAGAGACCCAGCGTGACAGAGCAGAACTGCCCTACAGAGCTTCCTAGGTTGTTGTTGTTATGTGCCATCAAGTCAACCCAAACTCATAGTGAGCCCTCCTTGGGTTTCTGAGGCAGTATCACTACAGAAGTAGATTGCCCAACCTTCCTTCCGAGGAGTGGGTGGTGGGTTTGAACCACCAGCCTTCTGGTTAGCAGTCAAGTGCTTTAGCCACTATGCTACCAGAGCTCCTGTTTCCTAGGTTGGAAACTTTTAAGAACAGATCTGCCAGGTCTGCCCCACCCCCACTCCCAGAGGCCGGTGGTTTGAACTGCGGACATTTGGGTTAGCAGCTGAGGGCTTTAATCGTTGTGCCACCAGGGCTTCTTGCTTGAACTGTACCTGACTTCAATGGAAAGATGGTCTTCTGGGGCATAATTAAGCCATCCTGGTCAAATCTGCATTCCTGAAATAACAATATTCTAAGCCTGGGAGTTTCAAATTTAAATACAAGAGGAAGGTACTATTATAATTGTGGTAGCTTTTAAATGTTAAAAGTTTTAATTTGTTAAGCCAGAACAATTGTATTCAAGGACAATTGTATTGTGAAGCCTTGGGTCAAACTTGGGTCATGCAAGTTTTGCATCAGCTGTGACCCTGTGGCTGAGTTGGTGTGGTAGTATCTTCTCTGCCACAGGCACTTCAACAACATGCTGTTTTGAGTGGCATGGCAGTGCCCCTTCTTTGGTATCTTGTTTCTACTCAGCATGCAAAGTACACATTTTCTTATTGCTAGGTTTTGACTATAAGATCTGGGGGAGTGTCACCCTGAAAGAGTGGTGCTGGGAAACCTTCCCATGGGGCAGGTGTTTTCAGGGACATTGGTGTGGAGTTCAGTGGTGGCATCAGGCTGAGCCTTCTCATTTCCAAGAGCAGCAGACAGCAGGACCCTCTCATTACTCTGCACGGGCACAATCATGAGGTTACGCTCACCTATGCCTGTAACATATCTTTAGTCAGTGCACTTCCAGGTCCACGCAGTTTTACTCACAAAAAAGTCACTGTTGTTCAGTCGGATCCGACTCATAGCGACCGCTCCTTGGGTTTCCAAGGTGGTATCACTACGCAAGTAGATTGTCCAACCTTCCTTCTGAGGAGTGGCTGCTGGGTCTGAACTGCCAGCCTTCTGGTTAGCAGTCAAATGCCTTAGGCACTACACCACCAGAGCTTCCAAGCACTTTTACAGAGTTGGCTTTTTAGATGTCAGTTTTCCAGTTTTGAAGAACTTCCTCAATTCCCGTAATTCCTGTGGTTGTAAACTCTGATCCACCCCAGGGGTCAATTTATAGCTCAGAGGAGACACAATATAACCATTTTGATAAAGACAGATTCTCTTGCAGAACTCAAAGGTGCTAAACATAACTCCAAAATATGGAACTACCTATAAAAAAAAAAGGAAATGACAATCAGGTTAAAATCCAGTTGACGATATCTCTAAGGGATCAAATTGACAGGAGGAACTCCAAAGACTGGATAGGAAACTTAGAGGGCAGTGAATTTATGTTCACCCTGAAAGAGTGGTGCTGGGAAACCTTCCCATGGGGAAGGAGCAACTCAGAAAAGGAGAGTGACAGTGGTTGCACATCTGGGAGATTGTCATCACTGTTGCTGAATTGTACACGTAGAAACTGTTGAACTGGTGTATGTGTTGCTGAGTCTATTTTCAACAGCACCAAAAAGTAAAATAAGTTATTTAAAAAATTCATTTGAATGAATATAATTCTTAAAAAGAAAATGTCAGCGCATTTGTAGTCTGCTTGGATCAGGGCAAACTGAGGTTAATGCTATGGACCGTACAACATAGCAACTCTTGGTGGAATCAGAGGAAGGTGACCAAGTGAAAGCGGCAAGATGCGTGTAGGTGGTGGGAGAGAAACGAAGGTGACTGAAGGGCCCATCCTGGGGCAGCACTGGGTCTGGGTTAATATGCGTGTAGACCATCCACACTACCTGTGAGCAGATTCTGGCCTTGAATGGAATCATTTACATGACAAATAGTGTAAGAGCTCTTCTTAACCTTTTTATTGGTCCTGGAGTTCTTTGGGAATAGGATGAAAGCTATGGACCCTCTCCCCAGAAAGATGCACACATGCACATACACACACATTTTGCATACAATTTTAGGATGAGGGGTTTAGGTTTCCTCATAGGGGTCTGTGAACTCCCATTGTTAGACGCCTCTACACTAAATTTTTAGTTCCTCTGGGGTGGGGTATGAGTCACCTCAACAGTGTACATGGTCCCCTCTTTCCAGGGCTGACAGCCAGGCTTAGTGGGCTCATGGGCTTAGTGCTATTATTGGTATCAGAGGGGTTGTTTCCATGCAAACTGTGGGAGGCAGTGATAAAAGAGAGTAGAATTGGAAGAGGCAGGGAAGCAGTAGAGACTGGCCACCCCTCTTACCTTCAATAAATTGGCTGTCAATCCGTTCCAGAGCCCCAGCATCCCTTGGGTCTTTATAATCTGCCGGAAGCAGTCCACTGCTCCTGAGAATTGGACATCTACTCCACCACAATGGGGAAGATAGGGGCTATGAGCCTGGCAGGAAATAGAAAGTGGGATGAGGCAAATTAGTCACCAGGACATAGATGTTCTAGTCCAAGTAGCCAGGGTCTGAAGTCTGGATTCTGGGTGCTATGCTCTTGGCCAAGATGATGGCAGAGAATGGCTGTCAAAGGGTTCTTCTGGTTCCACGGGCTTAGAATATTAACATGCAGTAAAGTCATGGCACCCTCATAAACATATTTGTGGTTTATTTTGCTGGGATGGAAGCAGCCATTCAGGATAAACCAATTCCACACTTACATTAGCTCCTAGCCTCTGCCTTATGGACATGATAAACACACACTCATGCCCTTGACCATTTTTTAGTACTCTCCTGTTTATGAGGAAGGAGCTCTGGTGGAATTGTGATTAAGGCATTCAGCTGCTAACCAGAAGGCTGGTGGTTCAAACCCACCAGCCACTCTGAGGGAGAAAGATGTGGCAGTCTGCTTCCGTAGAGATTTACAGCCTTGGAAACGCTATAGGGCAGTTCTACTCTGTCCTATAGGGTCACTATGAGTTGGAATCAACTCGATGGCAGTAGGTTTGGTTTGGTTTTGGTTTGCTTATAAGGCATTGATCATTCAGTGCTAGAATTCTCACCTTCCAGGTGGGAGATCCAAGGAGCTCTGGTGGTACAGTGCCTAAGGCATTTGACTACTAACCTGAAGGCTGGCAGTTGGTTCAAACCCGCCAGCAGCTCTGTGGAAGGAAGATGGGACAACCTACTTCCATAAAGATTTACTGCCTCAGAAACCCAATGGGGGTCACGATGAGTCAGAATCGACTCAATGGCAGTGAGTTGGTTTCTTTCTTTCTTTCTTTTTTTTTAACTATTTATGTGGGAAATCTATTCCTGGTCAATGCACCTCACACACAGGCACCCCTTATCTGTCTATGGAGACTTCCGTGTTGCTATGATGCTAAATAGGTTTCAGAGGAGCTTCAAGAATAAGAAGAAAAGTCTTGTGATCAATTTCCAAAAACCTGCCAATGAAAATACTATAGATCACAATGGTCCTGATCTATAACTGATAATGACTGGGAAGGGATCACTACGAATCAGGGGCCAACTTGCTGGCAGCTACAGTGACAACCTGCTTCCTTGTATGAACTGATCCCAGGCTCACTGGAAACATCCCTTCCCTATGAAGTTCCTCAAGTGGGGGCTGCTAGTTTTCCCACGTCACAGATGCTCGGGCGTAGAGTAATGGCATCCCAGAGCCCTTCATTGGCATGCCAAAAAACTCTTATCTGGTGCTCCTGTCACCGAACCACATTCCTTGTGACTATGATCACCCATGGACTCCCAGGCCACGCTGGCCACATTCACTGAAGAATGTGACACCTTCTCCCAGCCTCACCATAACCTCAGGTAACTTCAGCATCTCTAAAGACAACCCATCCCTACCCAGTTTCTGGACCTCAACTTTACACCACTTTGGTCACCCTCTCTCCTTCAGTTACCCCATGAACTTTATCATCACCCCAGAACTATCTTTTCTGAATATTGCCATCACCAAAATGTTCCATCTGTGCAATGAACTTTCTTTTTGCCTTTAGAAAAATAATTTTATGACAGAGGAATGACTTGAATATACCATCTACATACAAAATTGACACTACTCACCTACCATGGGAGGACATCTGCTCATAGCTGGTTTTCAGAAATGGGATGAGTTTACATTGAGCTATGCACAGACTTTGGTTTGTTTCTGAAATGTTTACTCAAGGCTAGTGTAGCATTCTGTGAGCATGGGACCAGGATTTTCCACGTGGGAGAGACAGTCTAGTAGAACAGCAAGAAGAGCATAAACTCTGGAGTCAGGTCCTAGTCCGGGCCTCTTCACTTTCTGGCCATGTAACCCTGGGTGTTACCTAAACTTCTTGAGCCTGTTTCCTTATTTAGAAAATGGGAATGGTATCTGCTTCATAGGACTGTTGTGGAGAATTAAATGAGACGCTGCATGTAAAGCACTAACTAGTGTCTGGCACATAGTAAAGATCGATAAATATACACTATTATTGTCATTACTATTAGATAGAAAGGAGCCCTGTTAGTGCAACAGTTAAGTGCTCTGCCGCTAACAGAGAGGTTGGCAGTTTGAACCCACCCAGTGCTCTGCAGGAGAAAAACCTGGCTATCTGCTCCTGTAAAGATTTCAGGAAACCCTATCGGGCAAATTAACTGTGTCCTATAGGGGGGCTAGGGAGTGCTGGTGGCATAGTGCCTAAGGCATTTGACTGCTAACCGGAAGGCTGGCAGTTCAAACCCATCAGCCACTCCTCAGAAAGAAGGTTGGGCAATCTACTTCCGTACTGATACTGCCTTGGCAACCCAAGGAGGGGTTGCTATGAGTCGGGGCCGACTTGATGGCACATAACAACAACATTCCAAATATGGATCAAATCACTTACTTTATTAGTCCTGTGTATATGAGTCAGAGCCACCTTGATGGCACCTAACAACATTCCCTTCTAAGAAGGAGCTGTGGTGGCACAGTGCCTAGGGCATTTGACTGCTAACCAGAAGGCTGGTGGTTCAAACCCACCAGCTGCTCTGTGGAAGGAAGGTGAGCCAATATATTTCTGTAAAGATTTACCCCCTTGTAGGCCAAATGGGGGTCACTATGAGTTGGAATTGACTCAATGTCAGTGGGTTTCTTTGGTTTATTCACTTCTGAAACTTACCTTCAGAACTGCTCTGACTGGTGTCATTCATCCAGCTCCCTCACCTCCTTATTCTCATTAGTCGTAATGATCACATCATTAGCCCCCATACACACTTGCTCTCTCCTTATCTCCCAGACCACCAGTTCCCTGCTGGTTCATGGTCCCCCTTTTCATCCTTGGAGCTCTTTTTTTGTGCTCCTATTCATAAAATCCTTGCCCCTTGTCCTTCAGCTGATCCCTTTTCCTCACCAACTCCTTTTCTGCTTCAAGGTGCTGAAGACAAATTCCCAAAAGCACAGATCAATGCCACTAAAGCTTTATGGTCTCTCCCCTCACCTGGACCCTCATACTGTGAAGCAAACTTTCCCATTTGTTATGGATTGAATTGAGTGATCCCAAAATATGTGTGGTAAACCCCAATCCTTATACCTGTGGTTATAATCCCATTTGAGGATGGCTTTTCTTTGGTATGTTAATGAGGCAGGATTGGTGTAGGGTGTTTTGAGTCAATCTCTCTTGAGACAGTAAAAAAAAACAACAACTCACTGCTGTTGAGTCATTTATGACTCATAGTGACACCCCCTTTGGTTTCCAAGGTAGTATCTCTAGGGAAGTAGATTGCTCAGTCTTCCTTCCCAGGAGTGGCTGGTGGGTTTGAACCACCAACCTTCTGGTTAGCAATCAAATGCCTTAGGCATTACACCACCAGAGCTCCCTCTTGAGACATATAAGGAGCAAATTAAACAAGTAGAGATGAGGGGAGATTGGTGCCATGCCTACCTTGGAGATCTCCAAGGGACACTGGGCCCACAAATATTAAAAGGAGAACAAGGACCTTCCCCCAGAGCCTACAGAGATAGAAAGCCTTCCCTAGAGCCAGCACCCTGAATTTAGGCTTCCAGCACCCTAAACTGTGAGAAAATAAATTTCTATTTGTTACAGCAGCATCAGAGGACTAAGACACTCTTCCTCACAGTGGCTCAAAGCCCTGAACTCCACACCCATTCCCTTCGCTCTATAAGAGATTTACCTCCTACTTCATAAAAGAAACAGAGGTTTCACAAGGTCTTATGTTTGGTTTCTTTGCACAAACATTTTCCTCTTCCCATTAATGCCCAGGACCTCATGCCTTTGAATTCTTGGACACCTTTCTCACGAGACCTGACTGTCCTCCCTCAGCAAATGAATAACCTCAAGTCCTTCCCATCTTGAAAACAACTCCTTACTCTGCCCTTCAGATACTGCCCAATCTCTCATTCCCAAATTACTTGACAGTAAAATTTACTTTTTACTTTTATTTCTGGTGTAGAGTACTGCGAGTTTTAAGACACTGCATAGATTTGTGTAACCACCATCACACTCAGGGTACAGAACCATTCATTTAGCCCCCAAATTCCCATGTGCTGCCCCTTGCAGTCAAGCCCTCCCCCACCATCATCCCCAGGCAACTACTAATCACTGCTCCATCCCCTTAGCTTTGCCTTTTGAGAATCGTTTGTAAATGGAAGACTACAGCCCATAACCTTTTGAGACTGTTTTTGTTTTTTCACTTAGCATAATGCCTTTGAAATTCATCCACATTGATGTGTTCATCAATAGCTTGTTCCTTTTCATTGCTGAATAGTACAGCCATAGCTCGGAGATACTTTTGGTTTAGTTCCAGAGCACTGAGATAAAGCGAGATCTGAGCTCTGATGGTGTGGTGCCTAAGGCACTTGACTGCTAACCACAAGGCTGGTGGTTCAAACTCACCAGCCACTCCTCCGAAGGAAGATTGGACAATCTACTTCCATAGTGATACTGCCTCAGGAACCCAAGGAGGGGTCACTATGAGTTGGATAAGACTCAAGGGCAA